TTTCACACTGTTACATAGACATATAGAGAATATCATTGTAGCACTTTTAGATCTTCTGATTATACCAGGACTAAAAAGCATGTATTGTTTGGAATAAATTGATTCTGAGGGATCATTTCTTAATTGTGAGAATGATTACAAAAGCATAACATTCCAGTCCGAAACTTATTGCAATGGTTATGTACATAGCTGTGTTAGAATAACGTTAATTATCTCTCCTAATGAATTTCTATTGATTATTTACTGGGAATGAAAATGGAATACAGAGTAAGTGCATCAGTGTGCAGCAGTATCATGAATATATGAGAATGTACTTTAGAGGAAGAAGAAACCTTAATCTCAGTTTATTTTCACCATAGTGTCATGAGCTCTTACTTGATCCAAAAAGTGAAGAAATAGGCCTCAAGTTTCACAACATCAAAACATGACTAACCTGCTCTCCAGGATTTTCAATGCCAGGTGGAGACTGAAGTACGAAGACACACCATGATAAATACTCATGGTAGGACAGGGAAAATGCTGTGGGGTCATGCAGAAGGGGGTAAATTATTTCAGCTGTCAGGACAGGGAAGGCTGAGATTTCAGGGCATAAACGAAGGGCACACAGTTCACTCATCAGGAGCCATGAGGAGGGTATTCAGGATCTGGGAACCGAGATTTAAATCACAGGGAAATCCAGAGAGTAATGCAAGATGTGTTTTAGGATGGAGGAGTGTTCAGTGTGGTTGGCCATGAAGTACTTTAAGGGAGTGTCAGGAAAAGTAGAAGAGTGCAGAAAAACCATCAGGAGTCCAAATGAGGAGCAAGGAAGGGCTGAAGTAGAGCAGCAGCCAATGCTGATGGAGTGGAGGAAGCAGAATTAAAAGCCACTTCTGAAGGGGAAGTGTTGGTGGGACATTGGAAATTCTTTACATGAGGGAGCGCAAACTGAGTTGGAAGATGACTGAAGGTACTGTTCTGAGCGGTTGTGTTGTTGGTGATGTCATGAGCTAGTCTGGGGAACAGAGGAGGAGTAGGACCTGGAGTACTGGATGCCTAAGAAGGGGAGTTTTCCAGAAGTAATAACGGAAGTGTCTTATAGTGTCCAAGCTGGTGTCCTTATTTCAAAATAAGGAAGCTGAGGCTTGTAATAGTGCATTGACTAATCTGAGATTCACAAAGCTAGTTGGTAAGGGTCAGAATGGTTAGAAAGGTATTCTCAGTTTAATAGAAAACCCGCTGTGCTTCCTACCATTGGTTTTATGCCTATGTGAAAAATTCACTGCTTGATTGTGTCTGCTGAGAGCATCTATAGAGCCTTAATTATGAAGTGAAAGTGTCATTAAATACACATTATGACTGTGATGTTTGTGTGAATTTTTAGCTGAATCTTTGACACCAAATGGTCCATTTCAATCTGTTACAAAAGACAGCCAGGGTTTCATTTAATTTAAGGAATTATAACAGGAAGGGTTCTTAGAGATCAGACACACGAACTTCATTTAACACATAAGAAAACTGAGACTCAGGGAGAGAAATACATTTGTTTAAAACTGCTCTGATTTGTTCAAGGCTTCCAGTGATTAAAATTAAGACCCCTGTCTTCTGATTCTTCAAGTTAGTAGATTTTCCCATAAGGCTCCTGGAACTATTACTGCAGCCATTGTATTAATTTCTGTGATTTGGTTGATTGCTTGGTCGTTGGAACACCTCTTGAAACTGGAAACTGAGTCATGAGCACATTTATTGCACTGTGGTGTGTGTTTGAGGACCAAGAGAAGGGGTCCTTACTTTGTGAATTGGATCATTTTCAGTGCAGATTCTCAGTATAGTTTTCTGTGGTATAGAAGTTCCTCCTGGTCAAAAAACTGTATTAGCTGCACAAATCACGTAGCCTGGACTTCACCAGTCATTCGGTAATTGTGTTAGACAAGTGATCTATGCCAAAGGAAGTTTTTAAATTGTAGTCATGTTTTAAGTAAATTTACTCAGGATGAATTCATCACTCTCCACTCTGCTCAGAAGTAGCCATTCACAAAGTCACATGTTTCTCACACTTTGATTAAGAAATGGCAGAGAGGGCTATCAGCTGATAAAGGAGGGATTAAATGTGAGTGCTAGAAATGCTCTGATCTGAATGTGACCCCTGGCCGGAATGCCAAAAACACAAACTTTCTAAATGGGCTAGCCCAGTGACCTCCATATACAAAGGTCTTTTCTTTCCAGAAATAAGCTAGCTCCTTGGTTCTGATGTGACACACAAGCACAAATGCACATGTGTATGCATGCACATGCGCACATACACACTTCCCCCTTTTTTAAAAATGGTGCTTGCACTAGCTAGACAAATATTCTACCGAGGAGCTATCCCCAGCCCTCCTTTATGATTCTTTACGAAGGTGTAAAGTTATCCCTTGCTCTTTGCACTGTGTCATATATTGAAATGTAAAATTTATATTCTTGAGAGCTTCCTACTCTGCTCTGAAAACCTCTGGACAAGCAGATTATAGAATAACCCATGACTTTGCTCTTCATCTGATTAGATCTCTGAAAGAGATCATAAGACATCCTTTAAAAAGCCTAGAGGCCTTTGGAGTTCAGAGTGATCACAGAGGGCTTTTTTCCCGCCAATCCTCTTGATATGTCATGGCCTTTCCTGAACAGTATCAAAGGAAATTGCTGTTTGCATCAGTCATTTAAAAAAAATTAAAACTCATTTGGAAAAAATGAAGGTTCATCTGTGGGTTGTATGTCATATGAAAAGTATTTTACCCCTTTCTTTCATTGACTGTGTAACTGTGGGAAATTAAAAAAATACTTTTGTGGTACAAGCTAGGTAAGAAATGCTTTAGGAGTGTTATGTGCTGTCTTTGATTAAAAAGTTCTTCTTTCCAGAATATCCAGTTGGGCATATAGGCACCTAGACTAGAATTGAAACTATAGAATTTCATCAACTTTCACTGGTACATAGGGGTCCTTTACCTCCTCATAATGTCCCTGTGAACATAATCAACACAACAGCTTGTTAATTTACACTAAAGTTCACCATTGCAAAATCTTGTGCTTGAAATTTTTGTATTCTAAGGGGTATATTAACCTATATTTTCTTGGATATACCTCAGTTTCAGCAATTTGATCTTTTCAAAAAAATGTATCACATGCCCAATTTGTTTTACTTTATATTCTTTTATAAGACTCTTAACATAAAGTTTCAAATCAAAAAGACTGTCTGGTTGCACACTTCTGGGGTTTTTGTGTTCCTAAAATGTGAGCCCAGTTTTCATTAGTTCCTGTCCTCAGTTAACACAGAAGTAAATGATGTGATTTTGTTAACTTTGGTTGCTTGGTTAAAATATCTGCAATTTTTCTTTTTGTCAAAATCTTTAGCCTGAGACTATGATTGAAAATATGTATCATACTTTCTATTATATTTTTAACCTGCTGAAGAAATACATACTAATTAGTTCTAAGGTACTGAACTGGGTTCTTCATATATATTAATTTATTCCATCCATAAGACAACCCTGTGGTACATTTTCTTATAGCCCTTTTGCTGATGAGGAGCACTTAGGATGTTTAAGAAACTTTCCAATATTCACTTAGAAAACTAAGCATCAGAAAAAAACTGATTGTAGCTGATTACAACTAATTCTAAAACCAGTCTTCATTCTATTTTTAAAAATTACTCATTCATTTTTTTTTTTTTTGCAACATCTGGAGGTTTTCCTTACACAATAGATTGTGGACTACTTGAAGAAAGATATGATACCATCTAGCTCATTATTGTATTTTGAGCATGTACCAAAGATTGCTATCAATATAGTAGATGTCCAATAGACATCTGTTAAGTTGGATTGAATAGGATGTTCCTGGCACATAAACCTAGAGGAGAAAGAGTACAAGACTATGGTTCAGTAGTTGAAAGTATTCAAAGTTAGTAAATGACTATGGGCTCTAGTTTCAAGTGACTCAGGTTTGAATTCTGATTTTGCAAGCTTACTATTTGTTTAATTTGAGTCAGTTACTTAGATTTTCTAAGTCTCACTTTAAAATGAGACAAATGGCCATGCATGATGTTGTATGCCTATAATCCCAGCAACTTGGGAAGTAAAGGCAGGAGGACTCTAAGTTCGAGGCTGGGCTTAGCAATTTAGTGAGGCCCTGAACAACTTAATAAAACCTGTCTCAAAATCAAAAATAAAAAAGACTGGAGATGTAGTTCAGTTGTAAAGTGCCCCTGTGTTTAATAGCCATTGCCAAATAAATTGAAATAAAAACAAAATAAGAATAATGACTGAGAATGTAACTCAGTGGTAGAATGCTTGTATTCAGACCCAAAGTTTGATTCCCAGAATTGCAAAAAATAAAATAGAGTGTGGATAATACCTTTATGATCATTTATGCAGGTCATATTTCTTTATTGTTAGTAAATATACAATTATTACTACTTTTAATTAATGTAGATTTTGAATGCCTTTTTAACACACTACATAATTTGTTTATTAATTTGCCTTTTCAGTAAAATAATGTAAGCCTTATGACAGCAGGGATTTTTATGTTTGAGTCATTATATCCCAAATGTTCAGAATAATGTTGTCCAATAGAACATCCTGTGTTGATCCAAATGTTCTCAATTGGCATCATCTAATGCAGTAGCCACTAGCCATGTGTTTTATCAAACACTTGTAATGTAGCTATTGTGACTAAGAAACTGAATTTATTTGGTCATAATTAATTAATTAGCCACACAAAGCTAGTGAGATACTATATTGATACATTTCTAGAACATTACATGGTACATAGTATTTTCTCAGTTAATACTTGTTAAATGAATTAATTTCCTTCTTGTGCTCAAAAGATTAAAAACAAAACTGCATGATTATATATTTAGCACACTTTTTAAAGACTAGAAATAAGACTTTATTGAGTGTCTTGTTCTTATTGGAGCCCACATGAAGTTCTAATATTTTATTCAGTTCCAATTGTAAAGAGTTTCTGAATTATATTTCTTCTTGATGCAGGTCAAGAGAGATTTGGAAACATGACACGAGTCTACTACCGAGAAGCTATGGGTGCGTTTATTGTCTTTGATGTCACCAGACCAGCCACATTTGAAGCAGTTGCAAAGTGGAAAAATGATTTGGACTCAAAGTTAACTCTCCCTAATGGCAAACCAGTTTCTGTGGTTTTATTGGCCAACAAATGTGACCAGGGGAAGGATGTGCTCATGAACAATGGCCTCAAGATGGACCAGTTCTGCAAGGAGCATGGTTTCGTAGGATGGTTTGAAACATCAGCAAAGGTAATGTGGCTTTAGAGGATGAGCATATTATAGGCAAGATTCTCAAAGAAAATGCACATAATCATTATCATCATTATAATAATAGTAATAATAATACATGTTTGTCTGGTAATAAAGGGTTCCAAATTACTTTATAAAACTTTTTCTTATCTCAAGGCAGTGAATGGGGCAGAATGAGACATATTAAGGTGATTGTGACTGAGGGATCAAATCCATTTGTAGATTTTTATATTGATAATAGTTAATAACTATTCAATTTTTGAGCACCTACTGTGTGCCAGGCATGCTTAAATGCATTTTTGTATTTAGTCCTCACAAAAGATCTATTAGGTAAGTATGAGTTTGAAAGAAATGGGCCTTAAATTCAGTGCCATTGCCTTATACATAAATTCAGACAATTAATAGTTAATGTGTTTAGCTGTATGTCAGGAATTGTACTTTGCCCTAGAAATGAAAAGATGGCAATAATATAGAACTACCACATTGAGAAATCTGGAATAGTGGAGTGACATGGCAGTACAAATGTGGACAGCATCATGCAGCCAAGCGCAGCTGAAGCCTCCTGGGAAGCATGAAGTAGCAGATGTGGGAACAGAGGAAGGGCTAGAAGATACAGGATCCTATGTGGCATGATGAGGGTATGTACTTCCCTTTATGCCCTGTAATGCTGTCTGCTTCATTAGATGCATGGATTTTTTTTCTGCTCTTTTTTCCATATATATATATATATTTAAATTTCAGTATCTGAGAAAGAAAAACTTTCATGGTAAATTTTAAAATTAATTTTATTTTTTTGATTGACATGTATTGCTCATATTTATGAGGTACAATGTGATGCTTTGATTCATGTATGCATTGGGTTATGAGCATTCTGATATTTTTTACATTATGATTGCAATCCATATAGTTTCATAGATTTGGGGAACACAAATATTTACATTTTTGTAGAGCACAGGTACTGTGCTACTTGTTTTGGATTTGGCTGTGAATAAGATACATTTCTGTCTCTTATGGAATTTACACTTATTTTGCACATTTGTGCACAGCATCAAAGAATGGTTTGAAAATATAACTTAAATGGGAATCATTCAAAACTGGGTATTTTATTGCACAGTAGAGTGTTTATAGATATTGATAATTTACTGTATTCTTCAAAAAGCCAGAAGAATGGTTTCTGGAATGCTTTTATCACAAAGAAATGATAAATGTTTGAGGAGAGACGTGTTTGCCCAGATTTAAACATTACATGTGCCCTTGTGGGAAAATTATGAGACCTTGCTCTAGAATACAAGTAAAAGGGACTGGAGAGAGAAACTTTGAGATTATCACTAAAGTGAGAAAACCATCAGAATAAAACCACTGCTTGGATTGGGAGATGATAGAGGAGGTGGCAGTACACCTTTCAGAAACAATGGGCATGATCATTTATTTGAGGCATTTCTTAGAGAATCTCAATGCCTGCTGTCTCTCTGCAATCATTAAGCTGCTCTTAGGTTTAGAAAGTTGTTTTCCCTCAGTTTCTAATATTCTTGTCTTCTTTCTGAGGTTCCAGTGATCAAGTTAGCTTTCCCCCCCTCTTTCCTTTAAAAGTTCCTAATTTCCCCTATTTCTTAGGACATAGTACCCATCATTTTCTATTTCTTGGCTGTCATTGAGACTTTTGATTCATGTGTTTCAAGAATTTATTACTGTGAAGACAGACAGGTGGAAAACAATTCAGATACTAAAAGTGGCAGAAATGTAACAAATATGAAATTTGATAGTTTGACTTTTTTTCCTGAACATTAGCTTGGATTTTCCTTTTTAATTCCAAAATGTGGATGAATTCATTTATTCTACTTCTCCCTTAGCTGCACACTTAACTTCACAACTTCTGCATTTTCTTTGAGTTCTTTAGTTTCAAAAAAAGAGTCACTTTCCAGTTCAAAAGCCTACAAGCCTAGTGGAGAAAGGAGGATTTTGGAAAACTCCTTTTCTCAGTTGTTTACCTTAAATTTTAAGGGAAAACTAGATTGAATGATATTTATGGATAGGAGAGATTGTCTTCCTTTATTCATTCATTTAAAAAATGTCATTGAGTGTCGGTTATGTGTCAGCCACTGAGATAGAAACTTGCAAAACAGAGTCTTTGGCGGGGGTGTGGGTGCTGGGGTTGTGGCTCAGCAGTAGAGCACTCACCTAGCATGTGTAAGGCGCTAGGTTCAATCCTCAGCACCACATAAAAATAAATAAATAAAATAAGGGTATTGTGTTCAACTACAACTAAAAAATAAAATATAAAAAACATCTTTCCTTCATGGATAGCAATAAGTAAAACTTACAGTGTTTTGGATGGCGATTAAATGCTAGTAAGAATAAAGAGAAAGGATGAGGTCTGTGAATGTATGGAGGGGAAGATTGACATTGCTTTTGGGTCAAAGAACTTCTCAACATTTTCTTTTTACTTTACCCCAACATTCTTTGTTCAGCCACTGCAGTGTCAAACCCTATATGCTTAAGGACATGATGTTCATTAACTTAAGGTCTGGCTAACCCTCCTAGTTGGATACTGCATTTCTAATCCTCCAAATCCCCACTAGTGTGAACTTTGAAGAGAAGCTTTATACAGCGTGGGAGAGGGGACATGGAATTTCACAAGCTAAGAGAGTACAAGACCTCATTGTAAAAGACAGAATCCACATTCAACATCTCTTCTCTCTCCAAATAACTGCTACTGAGGTTGTCGTTCTGAATAACTAATGAAAATATTTGGCCAGTGCCAGGTTAGTATTCAGACTCCACACCTGGAAGCCCAGGAACAATACTGCAGCAATGACAAAGTAGAGTCTTGAGCTGTTCAAAAGTCTTTTCAAAGATCTATGTAAAGTTAGCCAGGGACAGTGGTGCATGTTTGCAGTCCAAGCAGCTTGGAAGGCTGAGGCAGGATGATTGAGAGTTCAAAGCCAGCCTCAGCAAAATTGAGGTGCTAAGCAACTCAGTGAGACCTTGTCTCTAAATAAAATAGAAAATAGGGCTGGGGATGTGGCTCAGTGGTCGAATACCCCTGAGTTTATCCTGGATACCCAAATAAAAAAAAATCTATAATAAAATTCTTCTAACTTTCTGACTCTAGCATCACAACATTTACAAAATTGAAGCCCAGATAAAAGTATCTGCCTGAAGCTAAAATAGCAGCATTTGGGGACAGCTTACCAATTCCTTCTTTGATTACATTTGGGATGAGGGAATAGCTCCTATAGAGAGCTTTCTGCTAGAAAGTGAATCTGTTAATAATTAGAGAACTCTTGAGTGATATCACAGTCATGCTGGTGATTAACATATGATTTTCCTTTCTTGGATCTCTGAACATCTAATGAGCCAAAGGTTATAGCCTCTGGCTTTGTCCCCATGGACACACCCTGAGTAAATCCTTTGGGTGTCATCAACAGCATGACCCTCTCTGAAACTGAAGCTAACAAAGCATTACAGGAGTTTGTTGTTGAAATTATCCTCTGTCCTGCTGCAGTGCTGAGGTAAATTTACCCTTTTGTTCTTCCATATTCTGGAGTAACTTCTCATGAGAGTTTTCATGCCTGTTGCTGTTGCTGGAACAATAATGTAGCCCCTGGCTGGCTAGTGCATTAAGAGAGAGAAAAAAAAAAAACACAGATGTCTTCTGGTGCATCTGATTTTTCACTTTATCTCTTCCAATATTAAAACTCAGGAAAAGAAAAGAAAATAGTATTTCCTACATCAGGTTTTCAACTTTTGCATTTTTTTTTCTTTCAGCTATATTTCTTTGAATTATTTTGTAGACAATATATCACTGGGATCCTCATATGTCTCAATTTGCCCAAATTGCTTTTGGGTCAAAGAACTTTCTCAACATTTTCTTTTCCCTTTACTCTGAAATTCCTGGTTTATACCTGCTTTCCTAGTGGAATTATTAATAACATTATCCAAACATTCCTGGTTTGTAATTCGCATTTTTATGGTTGCCCTATAGATCAGGAATTTGATTCATTTTACTCTCATTATCATAGCTTTACTCTTAAAATGAATATTTTGTGTATTCCTATGCTTGTGTGTAGACTTCATAACATGCTTTAGTATATGTGTCTTTCAGGGTTATTTCCCTACCCTGTTCTTGTTAATGAATCCTCAGAGTTTGGAGTCTTGTCATCTGGGCCCATTTCAGAAGACAACTAGAACCTGCTACCTGCTAACCAATTTACATGGTTAATTCTTGATGTACCTAGTCTGAATCTCACCCAGGTCCAGCTTTTGTGTATTTGATGTCTAGACACCCTTACCCACCTTCTAGAGTTGTAAATACTAAGAGAATGTATGTGGAGTCCCCAGATGCATTATGTCTGATACCACAAAACACACACACACACACACACACACACACACGCACACGCACAATCTACTGTACCTATAACCTATCTGCTGGCCTGAGTTTTCTCATCTTAGTGGGTGCTGATGCACACAACAACCACACTCCAGTGGAAAGTCTGTTTCTATATTTTAGCCTTTTCCAGTTTATTTTATTCTGCTCATAAGGTGCAGTACTTCAGGTGTGGCTATGTTCAGAATTAAGGATAACAAGTAATTACCAGCGTAGCTGGGAAATAATGGAGCAAGGTATATCTAGGTAACAGTGAGAACAAGAATCAAATTCACAGAAAGAATCTGCAGTTAGCCCTGGTCTTGCTTTCCTCTACCTCAATTCCTACCCCTGAAAGATGCCCTTGATTATTTCTAACCTCCTTATACTGACTTTTTAGGTACACCTTCTCTCCCAGAAGGTTCTGAGAGCAGTGGGTGTTCTGGTAAGAAACCTTCTTACATTAAATTGTACTCAATTTTGGTCTCTCCTCTGAAGCTAAAAGAAAAAAAAAATATTGATGTGTGTCGTTCTGCTGAGAATAATGAATATGCTCCATTGTGTTCTCACTGAGATGGCATTAGTCGTTTTAGGGGCTGCAGTGATCATTTCAGACTACTGATTTTTGACT